TTAAACAATTCCATAGGGAAAATAGCGGTTAGTTTAATTTCTTTGATGTTTTATTTTACTGCTATTTTCTATTGGTTATTTCATTTCAATGTATGAGCATGATTCAATTCATCATGAATATATATATATATATATATACTTATATGAAAATGAATAAGTAGTATTAAACGTTTCTTTTTCTCCCAGATGCAAAATACTAATCGCAGTGGTAACATTAATGATAAATTGTGGTTATTTGTCTGTTTGTTTGTTTATTGAAATGTTTCAAAACAAAAGAACAGTGCAAAAAAATGATAAATTCTGCTTAGTCACATCAACAACATTCATCAAATAATCTGTCTATTAAATGGGAGAAAATGATTAAAATTCATGCATTAGATATATATATATATATAGTTGTATTGTTGTCGCTTCTCTTGGTGTTATCAAGAAAACATACATTTTATTTTTTTTTAAATATGACAAATCATATTTGTTGCGTAATCAAAACCTATTTATTCCTCTTTCTATAGCTGCTGGTATTTTTTTCAGTTTGTGTGTTCATTTATAGTTAAAGTGGGAAACGAAATATTTTATAATCAGAGAGGAGTTCTGTGGATATTATAGTAATTTAGTGGTTCGATTCACGAGTCAACGGAAGCAAGACCACTATGGAAAACATGGAAGCACTGGACGACTGCTTTGTTCTGGTATGAAACTTCTCAGCACTGCACATTCACGACTTCTCCCAGCGGGACTCGAACCCAGTACTTGTCGGTCTCATGCATGAACGATTAACCTCTAGACCACTGAACTGATATCCAAATATTTAAAGTCATTTTTAACTATATGATAAAGTTTTATGAAAATGGTTGAATGCAATCGATTGATGAAACGGTTGTGATGAATATCATTTTTGTTTGGTCTTTTTCAGTACTGATCGAATTCTACCGATCAATTTGCAAAGTGGCCATTAGTTTAAATGATTAGATATTGGATAAATTATATTGAGGTATTAAATGGTTAGAAGTAATCAACAGAAAACTGTGGACCTAGATTTCGTACTGTTTGTTGCTCATTAGCAGGGTATGCCACCAATATTGAAGGGACAAATGTTCCTTATTGGAATAAAACCCATATCTTCAAGAGTTTCTTGTCGAATACCTTCAACTACCTAGAAAGTCTAGTACACATAATTTTCTCGACAAAATCAAAGTCAGATAATTTTAACAACCAAAAAATAGGAAAAATGAATCAAAGTTAGTTATTTTTTAAATGTACTCTGTTATTTGCAATGAGAAATGTGTTTTAAACAAATATAACTTTGTGTGAGTGTAAAGTAACTGTCCAAAAAAAGTTTTCAGAATAACTCTACCTTAGTTAGAATCGATTTCATATCCAAGTCGGGTAAATGTTACTGAAACGAACAAATGGTTTTTTGCGTAATATCATGCAGCTGAGAAAAGCGAAAAAGATATAAATTTTATGGCAGACATAATCAATCAGACGATACGTTTTTTTGCTTGTAAACTATATGTGATTTCAATGTTTGCATAGTTAAGGAAAAATCTAGGTCTTTTTTTGAAAAAAAATGTAACTAGTTCCTTGAAACATTAAACTTTCTTCCAAATAGACTCATTTGATTTGTAAGTACAATACTAATTTAAGCAGTTTTTTATTACCTCTATACTTTTTTCTAGTAAAATGGGATTAATTCGTAGTGCTGTGCTTTCCTCAGGACACACATTGAGGAAAGCACCCAACTGCGTCACGAGACAAGCCCTCACATGGAATCCTCAAGGTCAAAGGAAAAGAGGAAGACTAAAGAACACATTACGCCGAGAAACGGAAATAGACATGAGAAAAATGAACAAGAATTGGATGGAACTAGAAAAGAAGGCCCAGGACAGAGTGGGTTGGAGAATGCTGGTCGGCGGCCTATGCTCCATTGGGAGTAACAGGCGTAAGTAATTAAGTTGTGAAATCACGTTGAAATGCAAAGCCAGCACTGTGTAATTTTAAAATGTTTGACTTAGTTCTAAAAACAGTATATGTGCTTATTCGATAAGTTGGTTTCCTGTAACAAATCAGAATCTATCATTTACAGCATCATGACCATCTTAGTTTCTTAATTAAATAGGACTAATATACCACTATTGAACGATTCCAAGTTTTTTTTTTTTAATATCAGAGATATTAATAGATTTATGATCTAATACATCCCGAGTGTGATTCAATCCAAGTTTCAAATATTAGAAATGACTAGATATGAAAATTTTTATGCATTTTCTGAGAAGCTTGGTGAGAACATTATTCGTCTTCTGTAACATAAACTGATATGTAGTTAAAAACTGATTTATATACTGCGTAAAGTTTGAAATTACGTACAAATAACTTCCTCATATCGAAAGAAAGTTTGATCAATGAAGGATGCTCTTCATTTATAGGATATGACGGTATGCAATGAGAAAATGTTAATAAAAAGAGTACACCGTTATGGTTGTGTGCAATCTATTCTTAGAGTGATTTCTAGTGCAGCTTTTGGGGAGCCAATGTTAATTGTTCAGATTTATAATAGTTCTACTCCGAGCAGTGATCTGTGGGCATAACCATGTAGGTAGTAGTTACCTAATGTTGATCTTCGATGATGTTCACTTTATGTTACCGGTTTCCTGAAGTTAAACAGTATAGATCACTGAGTACTGGCTTTGTAGTTGGGGTGGGGGTATAACGCTTGTTGTGGGATATTTAACTATACATTCGATCCTGGTTTCCGTTTATGAAAGTGTCAAGCCCAAAAAAGCTACTTAGTGTCTCAGTAACCCCAAATGAATGTCATTTTTGATTAAATTTATCTTCAAAATCTTATTTCCAGAAAAAATTATAATTTCTAATTTAGATGAGTGAAGAACTAAGCGTACAAAGTATTATAAACGAATATAATAACAGAATATATCCTTTTTGGGAATATTTATTAGTCTGCTGCAATTCATGTGATCCTAAACCAGTTAAGTATAAAACAAACGATGGTTTATCATGAGTTTATCATCATCCTAGAACAGATGTATTGTAAGTTATCAAATCAAAAGAATCTCATCAAATAAATGGATCATTAGAAATGGTAAACTTTTTATGACTCTGGGTAGAAATCACATTTCCGCATTCATGTTTTCGTGAATGTATTCCCTTGATATGAAAGAAATAAAGTTATGTATTAGTATACTAGATGTCACACTGTTACTTAAATCAGGTTACGTTATTATCGTTGTAAAAATCCAAACTAGGACACTTTCTAGTCTAAATAAACGTTTTACATTGTACGACCCTATTCTATATCCAGATTACTTGTAAGATAATACTTGATTTCAATTATTTTCTTTTCAGAAATTTTGTAATGAGCAACTGTATAAGGAACACAAGTTTTAGAAGTATTTAATTCAAATTATTTTTTCCCAACAGTTACATCAAACAGACTACTTATTTCTTTATTCGTGTTACATTTGTCATCATGTTTCTAATTGTATTACTGCCTATTATCTCGGTATCATCAGAATGTTGTACATTGTTTTTGTTTTTATCTTTCCATATGTATATATATATGCAAATTTATGTACAAATATCTTTACAGAAAAATGTACAGATAATATCACAGACAATATTTAAAACAATCATTTATACTACTTAATTGTTTTTTTCTATTCACTATGTAGATAATATTCATGAGAAAATCCTGCTGAGTAAAATTGTTCACTCTAAGAGTGTTAATTTTTCTAAGATGATTAAAAAAAAAGAAAACACAGCGACATTAAAACATTTCGTACTATAAATACCTATGATATTATATCTGTAGTAAATCAGACAGGAAAAAGAAAATGCATATCTCCACTGACCTGCTGTTTAACATTGTTTATCCCCACAGGGAAGATTGATCTACCAATTCATGAACAACTGGTCTATTATCACTGCATGTAAATTGAACACCTGACGATAAGATTAGTAAGATTGGAAAAGAAAAATATGTGTGCCAGTTTTTTTTCTCATTGGTCTATATTGTCGACTTTATTGGTTAGTGTTACTGTATATGATAATACTTCCCAATTTTCACAATAATCGAGTATAGAGAAACATGTAGAACTTTTACATAATATTCAAAACAATTTTTCTTTCTAGTATCCTATACTTTCTTAATATTGCGAAATTGGCAAGAATTTATATAACTGAAAGAATTTTTTTTCACTAAACACATAATTATTTAATATCATACCATATTATCCACAAAAACCCTTCTGATAATAATCAACATTTGCTCACTAGTGAATGCCTCCAAGAAGTATTTCCTGAAGTTCTAGTGAGATGCAGTGACCAATGGAGTTCAACCAGGTCTGTTATGAGATAGTAACTCATTGACGACAATGTTGGATGTGTCGCTCAAGTTAGTTATTAATACAGTTGAATGCCAGTCAGCTCAATGGTCTAGTGGGTAAGCGCTCGCGCGCGAGACTGGTAGATCCTGGGTTCGAATCTAGTGATGCGGGACCGTGGATGCGCACTGCGGGGGAGTCTCATACTAGGCCGAAACGGCCGTCCAGCGCTCCTAGGTTTTCGACGGTGGTCCAGCTTCAATTCACTCATGACCACAACCATTGAAATTACTATGATATCCACAAAAACCCTTCTGATATAAATCTTATATTCATTATGATTTTCGGACTCTTGTCAAATAACAATTTCATTAATCTATATACAACAAACCTTTGTTTCTAATCATGTTACTGTTTTCTTTTTTATCTTGAAGCTGTTTATGGTTACTGAAAAGCCTCAAACTAGAATGAATTCACTTAGATCGATAAATCTGTTTATCCTTACTTTATTTAAGATTCATTTAATTGTCAATATCTAATTAGATTCAACTGACTTCAATCATTTTGAATGACTAGAGAAAGTATAATATTGTGTTCAATGATTTTATCAAATAGTAAGTTATATATGTATACATATATTAGTAAATAATCAAGGCTGTATAAATACAATAATTAGATTTTTATTCAGAAATATCTTGTCATTTACATCACAGCTTATAGCCAATATCACAACAAAAACACAATAAAAACTACACTTTACAATAAATGGTAAAAGTTAAAAGAAAGAGAGCTACCTAAAAAATTTTTTGATTCAACCATACATACATACTACTATTTGATTGTAATGATAATCAAATTATATCAATGATAATCAGTATCTATGCCCATCAAGATAAATGTACGTGTGTGTGTGTCCGTGTATAAATGTGTAAAACTGGTATTTACAAAAACTTCATTTAGTGTTTTTTCTTATCTTTTCACCTCATTCTTATGTTTATCATGAAAATTAATTGTAAATCACTTAGATAATACTTCAATAAAGAACTATGTACAATCAGTAAAGTAAATTTATAAGAACCAAACATAATGTATAACTGTATTTATCTAGTTCAATTCAATTAACTGACGAAGTTATCATTATATTGCTAATATGGAAATTCATTTTTAATCATTCATTTTTATACTAAATTCGGTCTACATATAATTTCATCAAAGACTGGCGGAGGTAAATTTCTAAAATTTATTCCCATTGAATTATGAACTGGTCGATTTGTTAACGGATTAGGTTGACATGTTGAATTATATGATTTCATATTATTATTATTATTACTTTCAAGAAAATTAGATAAATGAAAATCTCTAGGATCAGATAATGAAAATATTGATCCATTTGGTGAACAATTTTGATTCGTGCTATTATAAAGTGGGAATTTTACTAATTGTTGTGAAGACATTGATGATGTTGACGATGAAGATGATGAAGGAAAATAAGATGGAGTATATAATAAATCTGATTTTGTTTCTGCCCGAAATCCACTTGAACCAGATAAATTTGTTGGATTATACGGAAGACAATTGAGTGAATTTGATGGAAAATTTTGTGTTAAATGAGATGGATTAGGACTGAAATGTGGTGTATTATCATTATGAAAAGATCCTGTATCACTGTTTAATAAGTGTGCTGCTGTACCTGAGATCACTGAGTCGTTTGAAGGAAGTGGATGTGCTTGTGATAGAGGGTAAATTCCTGTCAGACTCGGAATTGCACCAGACAAATTAAAAGGAACACCTGATGCGATTGCAGTAGCTGAAGCAATAGCATTGTAAATATCCTTTAAAAATAGAAAAAGATGGAATATTAAGGGCATTACGCAATTCTGTAAGATTCGAAAAAATCGATGAATTCACCTCTCAGTTGTCGAAATCATGAGTCAATTGAAACTAGATCAACTATGGAAAACCTGGAAGCACTGGACGACCATTTCGTCCTATTGTGAAACTCCTCAGCAGTGCGCATCCACGATCCCACCTCTCGAAATTCAAACCCAGGTCCTATCCATCTCGCGTGCGAGCGCTTACCCACTAGACCACTGAGCTGACCGGCATCCAACAGTGTTAATGTCTAACTTCAACTAGTCCACGAAATTGAGCGACACATCCACCATTGTCTTCAGTGAGTTACTATCTCACAACAGACCTGGTTGAACTCCACTGGTCACTGCTTCTGACTAGAACTCCAGGATATACATCTTGAAGCCAGTCACTAGTGAACATATGCTGTTGATAACAAGTAACAGCTCTATACCTACAAAAATTATGACTATTACGGTGTATATTCCTCCATTCAAGTTGTGTTTAAGAATGATTATGTCACTGGCTATATATTTCGCATCTATCTGATGCTTAACAGTAATTAACAGCTGTCACAAATCTTTAGTCAAAATGATTTGCAAATCACATCTATCCAAGTAGTTTATTCATATTTCTTAATGTTTTCGCTCTTTTGTATCAGCCTATCATGCCCATAAATTGTCTAACATTCTCTAATCGTTTTCGGCAGATAGTATTATAAGATTCCAAGTATATACGCCCTTATATTCTCCGCTAAATATGTCCTACAAATTTTAATTCAAATTTAGTGAAATAAAATTTTTTTATATTGCTTTTTGCTTATACAATAGTTACAGCAGTAAAAAATAATGACTAAATAAATAATACTTACGGGACTAGGTCCTACTAGATATTCATGGTAAGCAGAATTGGTTATCATATCACCTGGACCTCCTGAGTTCAGCTCATTGGATAATATCCCTGATCTTATACCACGTAATCTCCTTGGATTTCTGTAGAATGATCGACGTGCACCAAGGGCATTCAACTGTTTCATACGTCGTTCTTTACTACGACGATTCTGAAACCAAACCTACAAAATAAAAATTTTAATGTCATTACAGTATGCACAGATGGCCATTTCTGTTTTTGTAATAAGAATTAGCCTAGAAATAATAGCTATATTTGATTGATTTCATCGTAAATATTTAAATATTTTTGAGTATTTTGTAGTTCATCACTTACTCATGTAACAGTGATTTAATGATTAAGCCAAATGACATTGGATCTCTTCATGTACTTTGATAGGAAATGTTAACATTAGTCTTCACACATAAAGTGTAAATCATTACTAAGTAAACAGACTGATAAATTTATCAACGATTTTTTCAGAAAATACTTTAGGATGAACATAGCTGAGAAGGCGAATTTCACCGTGAGCTTACATTTACTGGATAAACTACTTCAATCAGCGAGCAATCAACAATCGTCTTGGACTTGTTTGAGATTTTTCTATAGTATATACCCTCAAATTTACACAGAACGGATTTCAACACATTCAAATATAGTTTCACGAGTAATACACTTATACTTCTTGATTGGAAATCAGTAAATGAGGATTGTGCAATATCATAAATTGTTTGACATCAGAAGTACAAGCTATAAGACTTCAACTTAGTGGTCTGAAAGTATCATACTCATAAAAAGATTTAGGCTTAATTTCATGTTAAATCAGAAATATGTACTGTTAAGAAGTTCAAGATTCTAAGTAACCGTCCGACACATCCAGGCTTCTTTTTATCTAATATTAGTTAGTTTTGACAATAAATTAACATTTTGGCAAGTTGTGTACTTGTTGTAAGGATCTATGGAAACTCATTAATCAACTTATCATAATATTACAAACCACTTTATGATAACTTCGAATTAAGTTCTTCACATACAATCGAACATCAGTTACTTCTCTATATTTGGCACCAATTCACTTGTTCTGAATACTATGAAAAATATACATATTCTTTACGAGTTATGAAAACTACAATAAGAATTCTATTGTCGTGTGTGCTACTTATATTGACATAAGTAGTATGTAACATGAGTCAGGAATATAATGTCTGGCAGTAAAAGATTGAGAAGATCGAGAAGGAAAGAACAAGAATAGAAGGCAATCGGTAAAAAAAATGCAGAAACAGTCAAGTTTCAGACAAGTGATTGATATTTTGCAAACTAAGTATTTACTGTATAGTTCTCAGATTCTACTATGATGTGCTGTAATTTTATGTTCAAATATATGTTCAATTGTCCCTACTTATGTTCTTGTTCACTACACTACTATTTAAACCCCTATTTTGTAAAACATTTTTTTTAAAAAAATCAAATCAAATACCATGGAACTATTGAATAAAACATAAATAAGTCACTATAATATAAAAAAATATATTCCGTATTTTATATTATCAGACATAATTAATCAATCAGATATGAGACAACTATTGTAATTATAATTAATAACAAGTTCCAAAAAAGAATAGTGTTCTATTGTAATACTAAATTAAACTAAGTCTCCAAGTATTCTAGTAACCAGATCATATGACAAAGAAAATTTTGTCTTAGCTTTTCTATAATAAATCTTATTTCATGTTTATTATTCCCAAGGAAAATCATGTCACATGTTGTTGGGTTTTTTTGTTTTAAAACTACAATGATAGTTATCTTTTAAAAAAATGATTATCCAACAATCAAGATATTAGTTACCTCCCTTTATTTCTTAATAGACTAATTAGTTTCACAGTCAGTCAACATAGAATAATCAGTATAGTTTGAAGTAATTCTCACAGTCAAAATAAATATCATACTTTATACCTTTAATAAGCAGCAACAACAACAACCAAACCACCCCTACATGATCTACATAAAAGATATGGTTCTAATTTCATTTACACCTTCACACATTAAATCAATATGACAATGCACAATTTTGACAGTTTATTGTTTTACATTACATTTAATAATTATTATTATTGCATAAATAATTATTTCTCACTAAATTGTATGTTTATTTAATAAAATCTTTATTGAAGATATACTCTCTTCTTCCATTTATTTCTCGTAATTGTAGACATAGGTAAGTCGAATGAATTTCTCCTTTTATTGTTAGACATAATGAAATATATCTAATGTCTATGACAATTTTAATAACAGATTAGTAGACTTATGATTTTCATCTTTGTCTTTACTAATAACAAAAAAAATTGTAATTATTTTATGAAAAGAAAGGAGAGCCTACGTCTAATTCAATGAACATATTTTGAAAAGTTTAAAATTAAATAGATTAAAAACATTCAGACATCTCCTTGAAACAGGACATGAAGTCATTATACTGAAGTCCTTCAAGGTGATTAACAAACAATCAAATTCCAACCTTTTAAAATTTGCTGAAATGATAGCAATTAAACGTTTAAAACCAGATCTATATATCCAAAAAAGAGATGGTAATAAATCTTTCTTTACCATGGTAACATTGCCCCCCTTTTTTTAAATTTATTACGTCATTCATTATTTCAACTCTCGTAAGTTTTAGTTTAAATTACATCATTGTCATTTTTCTTCAATTCATAACTGACTGATTTCAATTCATATCTTTCTTTATTACCATTCATCTATTCTCAGTTGCTTCATTACAAAATCATCTGATGTTTGTTAACTTCATGAATTTTAATCACTATTTCAATGTTTTGGAACTTTCCCTCCCAAACTTTATTTATCCGGAACAAAATTTTGATGACCTTATTTACTCTATTCATCTCTAATCACCCCTCGTGTTTATAAGTATTTCAATATTTGTAATAACGTTGATTTTAAAAATATTATAGGTTGTAAACAGCTGATGAGAGCCTAACGAAATAAGATGACTTCATATTATTCTGCATCAATCTTCGTTCTTGTTCTCTTTAAAATTAAAATTACTGAATGGAGAACTATTGGAAACATAAGATGTTGTTTTATATGAATAAGTTGTATTAAATATGGGTTGTATGGTTTAGGGATGTAAAGTTTACAAACTAGTACAGTGTTTATGAGGAAATTCTTGTATATTTTGAATGTGATTTTGGTTATAAATTGATATCGGATGGCGAATCAATGAAAATGAGAGAAAGAGAGAGGAATTTACAATCATTTTTCCTTACTCAAGTACTCGTTAGCAGTATATGTATATACACGCGCAAGAACGGGATGAAACTTTAAATCACTAGGTCAGTAGTTAAGTAATGATATACCTAAACCGTTGGGTCAATATTAGGTACCTGTGAAGACTATTAAATCAATATTAATTTAATAGCTCATCGATTTCATCAGATGAAAATCATGCTATATCACAATTGGAGTATTAAGTCCACACTACAAAATTCAAAATAAGATGTTTAAATAGGATGATGATCAACACAAGACACGAGATTCTTTGGTTTTTTCTCATATTAAGTCGTTAGTGTACAATTCTACAGAGTTTGAAACTAGAATGAAATCACTTCCCAACGCCTCATAGTTTCCATTACTTCTTCACTTGGTCTAAATTAAGTGACTAAAATAGCTATCAAATCGATTGTCTGATTAATGTATAATTTGAAATTTATGTTTATCATATTGATGACAACAAAATAGCCAAGAGAGCTTTTTTTGGTATCTAATGTAAATTATAACAACGTCCAAATGGTTCAAATGGTTTTGGACGGAATAGAAGTAGCTTTCGTTTAACGAGCTTCTGTGTAAATGTGAATAGAAATTTAACAGTCGATAAACCTGTAAATTATGTCTGAATTATCTACACTGAATTATGGTTGATTTGGAGTATCTGTACAGTCTCATAAATTTACAATAAGTATATCACACTTCAAAACAATATGATTGATCAGTTTCTGGTATAATGATCTCATTCATACTTTTTCTGAATCACCTAGTTTATTTTTTATGATAACATTATCCTGACTAAATAAAGTGGAACGACTTTAATCCTAAATATTACTGATTTCATAATATTTCATGAGTTGATTAACTAACTTCACTGCTCATTTATGAGTGGTCAGTACTAAAATCACAACTGTATAAGTATTACGTAAATCAATGTCAACTGTAGATACAATAACAAAGCGTTATCATAAGTGTATAATAATATCTATTCACTAAAGACACTGAGAACAATTTTTTATTATGTAATAATTTAAATTATGACACACAACTTACTAGCCATATAATTAATAAATACTTTCTTTGTTACGAAAAGTAAAATTTTCATTTCTATTTAAATCGTTTGTGATTGTTTAAGTAACTGTTATTACAATTACATCACAGATTGATCATAGTTAGACAATTACTGAAAACTAGAAAGGATATGACAGCTATTTCCTCCCAACGTAAGACTTCTTAGCTCTATGCATTCCCTACCCTCCCAGTAATCAAAACCTAAACCTACAGGTCTTGCGATGGGCACTTAGCCTTTAGACCGGTGAAATGGCGTTCAGTTGTTTATGCATCTTACCTTAATTAAACACACTACAGTGATAGTAATCGTTTGGCTACCAATGCATAAATTCAGGATGTATTTCGGGATATCTAGCAAGAGACCGTGACCAGTCAGATTCAATCATTTTCAATTTGAAGTAGCTACCTATGATTCCGATCATGAGATATTTGAGTAATATTGCAAAGTGATTGAAGTTAGACATGTAAACTAGTGGATACCAAATCGGTGATCCGAAAGTTAGGCACTCGCTGCGAGAGTAAAGGTCTTGGTTCAACTTTTGGTGAAGTTCTGAATGTACAATACTAAGTAGTCTCTTACTAAGACAAAGCAGCTGTTCATTCCCTCATGGTTTTCAGTGGTTGTCTTAAAAAACCGGTCTGTGATATAAACTATGAAATTTTATAACCTCCATAAATCCTCGTACAGTAACTTGTACTACTTAGTATAAGAGACCTGTTTGAATTAGATACTTAACGAACTAATTTTCATAAATCGTCATATGGTTAGCATGATTTTATATTGAATTACTTAGAACGTAATGCCAGGATACTATTTTAATTTTATAATTACAGTGG